GCACGGGCTTCAGTAGACATTGACAACAACGTACCTGGCTTTCTGCAACCGTTAACCTTCCGCCCAAAACTTTGAAAAGGGGGCTGGGGGTGTTAGTGGCAGGGTAGGGACGGTACTTCCCACCCAAAAACTTTGAAAAGGGAGGTGCTTGTCACTGCTGTCTGGTCCAAGTTGCCCTCCATACTGGTAAGGTGATGGTCTTGAGTGCTGATCACACTGAGGTAGGGCGATGGTCCTCGATGCATGGAATATGAGCGAGAGCGATAGACAGAAAATGAAGTCGCAAAATCACGCAGAAGTCCAGATAGTCATGTACCAAGTAGAGAGTTCCAATGCACCAAGATTCCATCCAAATAAGAGCAAAGCAGTGAACTCATGTGCCAATGTTATCACACAGAGGGACCTTTCAGGGCCTGTCCGGTTGGGGTACCGGTTCTCAAAAAACATCCGCATTATTTTTCTGGGGTACCCCAGGCCCAGGTAAAAGGCCCGGGGACCCCAAAATGTTTTTTCGAGTTTTTCGAAATCGGGTCCAACCGGACCCTCCGAACTGGACACCGGACACCGGACTCTCTGGATCGGGATCCGGACGTCCAGTTGGTAATCATGGAAAACAGACGTTTCTACCATCAGGGAGGAGAGGATGGCTGACACGCACGCACGCACGACACTGATTCAGAAATTCAAACAAAGAGGAAAAAGCTGAAAAACACATGGTCGATGGGGATAGACATGCAGACATGGAGAAGTTCACAATCACGCGCATCTTCGTTGATTCCTGCAAACTAAGAGCCTCCCAGGGTTTCTTTTTTTTTTTTTTTCCCTTTTCCTTTGTGCAGAAGGGCCATGGCAATCTTCTGTTTATTGTTCCAGTTTTAATGTGCGTGCCGAAGGACAGCCTCACGACCTTATGCTGGCCAAGATTCGCTGAAGAAAGACTGCGTGCGCGGAGGAGCAACGGAGAAGCTCGTCGCCTAACCCGTGCTCTTCAATCGCTCCTCCAATCACAAGGGTTTTGAAAGTGATCAATTTGATCTATGACCAGGTTCCCACAGGTCCGTGGAGTCATTACCGACGGAATTGCTGCCGGTCTACAGACAACTACACGAGCAACACCGGCGATTGTTTTACTCCATCCATCTGGAGTACTCGCACTACAACTTTCATTTACCGCGAACGCGCTCAGATGGCATTAAAGATAGGGCTAGTGCGAGTTTGTGCCGATTAGCAACAACCAAAGAACCGTATGTGCACCTCTACATCTTGATAGGTAACGAACGTTAGCTACATACGATGCAGACCCTGTTTTTGCCAATGTGGTTATTAAAGAATGATTTAAAACAAGTTAGTTTATTTTCACACAATTCTTCTCCTCCTCCAAACACTCGTCAACTGCGCGAATTGGCGTGTTTGGCTCCTTGTGATTGACAGTACACGCAGGCATACAGTTTCCTCGTCATGCATTCACAGATCGTAAAGCCCTCATGAATGCCGAGGACGGTACGTGAAGTCTGCGCTAATACCACTTATGTACGAAGTGAACGGTACTGTCATCTCTCATCATTGTGCAACTATATCCCTGAATAAGGTCTGAAGGTAGAGGGGACTACGTTTTTATGGTTGGCAGAACGGATGGGGGCTTCCAGGGCACAGACTTTTTGAAATCTTGCAAGTCATCTGCCCAGTAGCAGCTGCACCGGAACGCGGTGATACCAAAAACAGGACTGTGCAATAACAGCCAAGTGAAACGGTTTTCACCTTTGCGGTAGCAGATGCAGATCCCAGGGCTTGATCCCTAGACCCCACCTTACCCGTGTACAGTACCCCTGTGTGTTTGAACCCGTGACCTGCGTTTTAGGAGTCAGTTGTTGTCTCAACTTGTCTGTCGTAGGTTAATGTAGCTGTTGGGTCTTGAACCGTAGGTCTGTCGAGTAGGGGTCATAGTTGTGTAAAGGCCGTAGCTGTAGCAATTCTGAAAGGTCAAGGTTGTAGCTGCTACAGTCCTGAAAGGTCAAGGTCGTAGCTGCTACAGTCCCGAAAGGCCAAGTCCACAGGCTTCCGGAAGGTCTGGAAGTGGCCTTTCGAGTTTTTCTCACGTTACTCACAGCAGACCAGAGGCAAGTGGGCAAGTGGCGAGTCCAACTTCGCTCAGTCAGCGGTACCCAGTCCCAGTCTCACTTTGTACAGTCAGCAAGTACCATGAGGGACTGTGTGCACCATGGGCCCAGTGGAAAAGGGCATTAACAGAAGTATAAATCAAGAGGCAGAGTCCAGCCATTCATTCATTCCTATGTGGGCCATGCGAAAGCGCTGCCCAGGCGTCTTGTGCGAGGTGGTCTGCAGAAGCCCGAGGTTGAGGTGGGATGAAGGGAGATAGTTCGTCCATAGCCAGTAGTAGTAGAGTGGCCATAGCCGCTGTAGCTTAGAGATATTCAGTGTGTGTGTGTGTGTGTGTGTGTGTGTGTGTGTGTGTGTGTGTGTGTGTGTGNTGTGTGTGTGTGTGTGTGTGTGTGTGTGTGCGTGCGTGTGTGTGTGTGTGTGTGTGTGTTTTGGTACTGAGTTTGTGTGCGTGGGATATCCAGGGAGATCCAGAGTCGAGTACGTGCAAACGGTTGTGTGAATACAGTGTCGGACAGAGGATGTGTGAGCACTCAGGCGCCATAACCAGTTGGAAGCGAGTTTGTATCCAAACTGTGTTCTCGACTTGAATATCTCTGAGGTTTGTGTGGGCGCACAGCGCCAGTGTAGATTGACATCGGTTTGCATGTATGTGAAGTGAAGAAGAAAGCAAATCTGATTTCACAAGAGTCCTACGACTCCTATAGCAAGAACACAAAATGGAACGAGATGTGCTAAACAAAATGGCCAGGCGCGTGACGGATTCTCTTTGGTTGTACTACAGCACCGCAACCAAAGAGTCTGATGGCGAGGAGAAAAATAGAGCGGCATGTACTAAACAAGGTGGAAAGGTGTGTGTGCGATTCCCTGGGTGTTAACGAGAGTGCGACAAGCAATGCCATCTACCTACCACCAGCCAGACTTGGGCACGGAATCCGACGAAGGGGAAGAATGCCACACTACCGGCCAAATCATGTATCGGCTTGGGGTGCAACACTGGATGCACAGAAGAGGTCACTCCGAAAAGAGCCCACCAGAAGGATGCAGAATCAGACCTTCAGCAGCCGTAACTGCTTGCAGATCATCTAAATAGTTACTTCAATAACTTGGAGGAACACGTTTCACACGTAACCCACCTTCTTCTTCTTTTTATCTCCAAAAAGGACCAATTCTCCTGCGCTCGCCATTACCTCCCATCTCAGGTCAAGCTATGCCCCCCACACTCTTGGTTACCACCTATTCCGCCCTCTCAAGTTTTGTCGAGTTCTTCTCACCCAGTCTTTGCTCTTTCCTTTTCCCCTGCCAATAAAAAATCAGGACGTTCGCATTTCTAATTTCAGCAAACAGATGTTTGGGTTGTCTGATCGCCCTCAGCCGAACAGCTCTCATTTTCGTATCCCATCACTTTCACCCCCCTGCCTCCGACAAGGGCGCACAGCCCAGCGCGGCAGGGGGATATCCAGGGCGTGTCCAAGGCCATGCCACCATTGAAATGATATCCTCTCGAAAGAAAACAGAACACGCTGAAACACTTTGACTTGATAAAGGACCGGAATGAGGTCTATGCGAAGCCCGCACTGGTTCCTGTCATAACGTCCTCCTCTCTGCACGTGAAACTCCCTTCTGAAGCAGCCACTACGGTAGGCAAAACACCATCACCTCCGCAGCCCACCAGGCATTCAGCTAGACAATGAAACACCGCCTGGAGTTCGTAGTGCGACTCACACACTGACAACATCCTTGCCCAGTTCTGTCGGTACACTAACGTGAAGCAGGTTTCCCGGTAACTTACCAGTTGGGTGACATAACAGAGCCTTGTCCCTTGCAACACAGGTCCAACAATCAAGAGCTCTCACTCAGAACACTGCCACGGGAGGAGGCGAAGCGGTGGTATAGCACTTTTGCTCGCCTGTTGCTGCAAGAGCACAGCAGTCTGTTATGGAGATGATCGCAGCACGAGTCAATTCACGCACATACAGACCACAAGAAGTGCGAGGAGGATATGCGACTTTTTGTGTTGCTTCTCGAGATAGCCTCGTTCCTGAAGGGCTAGAGGAGGAATCTTGCTCTAGCCACGACAAGATCTCGGCGGTCCATATTTCTTTGTGGTTGGCATCTCACCTTGACTGAAGGACGCTGGTCATCCGGTCATCCGGTGTTCCACGCATCCGAGCTCAAAATACATTGATCGATCGGCTGCAAATGATTTCCACCTCGTGCACACCTGCTTTTCCAACAACCACTGAGACAGAACAGGGCGGTGGAAAATATCATTGCCACGAGCGAAGGATGGACTCCTGCACGACAACCAGCGTCGCACTTCCTCTACTCTAAGAATATCAGTGAGGAGCAGCAGAACAGCAATCATTCTGACAAATGGTCGGCTCCTTTTCACCAGGGCACTGGTGTCGACAGCTGACACATAATAACAAAAAAGCCAAGGGAGAATCACAAAAGCACATTATCGCTGCCAGTCCATCTCTCAACATCCCCAAGGGCACTCAGGCTGACTCTGATTCCTAGCCCTCTACTTTACGTCCGCAAACCCTCCTTGTGGACACGGTCAAATCTGGGGCGACGAGCCTCCACGCGTCTTGATGGCCATCATGAGTGTAGAACACAAACTCCCTTGATGAGTTAGCAACACTGCACTGTGTAATATACTTGCATACCATGCACCCGGCATAGGCATAGGTTAGAACAGAACTCTGAGAGCAAGCTGACAGACGGCCACGAACGGGTTTCGGCATACCACCGCTGCTGCCTTGCATTGGGTGTGGGAGAGATGTCTACATGGTTAAGCGGTACCCATTTATGACTTCAAAATCTCCCTGCAGACTGCTCAGTGCAATGCACCCTGGGGAATGCACTAGAAGACATGGAATTGTGGTTTTCCTCTTTGGAGTGTTCACAGAATAACTCGGTATGGTATACGAAGCCCCCACGTCCCGGTCCAAAGGGTAAAGGTCACTTATAGGTTCATACAGCGCCCACTTTGCTGAGATCCTTCTTGGTTTTCTGCGGTTTCAGCATCGATTCTCAGTAAGTCGACTGCGCGGCGGAGAAACTAATCCCGGAGCAAGTGAACTGGCTTTGGGTAGGGTGGGGCCGCCAAGGAAGAAAGCCATGGGATTGCAATAGACATTTTCTTTCTTTGTTCGCTTCTCCCTTTTCTTTCCCTTTTCCCTCTTCATTGCTGTTCTCTTCATCATTGGCAGGTTTCAACCCTTGTTTTCTTATTATTTTTCCGTCTCATTTTCATGAGGCTTAAAGCGAAAGTACCTTTGTCGGTTCGGAATGACGACCGCTGATCAGATTTATCAACGGCAGACGTTTGTCGGGCCCAGCCACCTATCAGTTCGGGACTAGGCTAAAACTTGTCGAAACCAGACGGCAAAGGTACTAGTGGTTTAACGATCCATTGTACGGACAGAGAGACCAAACAACAACATCACAGCCTCGTGCACCATTGCCCTCCAGCTTATCGATCCATTGTACGGACAGAGGGCTTTCTCATCAAACATACTAGTGGTGTGGGGTCATTTGACACTTTCGTGGAGTTCCTTCACTGGCCTTCAGTGTCCTATACCGCAGGATAGATATAAGTTTTGCAAGCAAATTCTGAGATTGACCCACATCAAACACACATATATCGACATGACGAATTACTCTATCGGCTGCCACTAATGCGACAAGCACCCTTCTTGCTCCACTTTTCACCACCTGAAATGGACAATACAATGCCAAGGACCCTAACTTGGTCCCCTGTGCAGAAGTGGAAGGGACTAAATATTGCATCCATGTCTGGAACCTAATTTGGTCCCACTTCCACGAAACAGGATGTACAGATATCATGGCTGTATCAGGATGAACGAATTGATGCACAGCCGGGTTCCATCCACGCATGGTTCGTTGGCTTACCCTGTTTGGGAGGGTGCAATCAATAGACTTCCGGGAGGCCACCTCTGGAGAGAATAAGACGTCAATGGAACAGCAATTTCAAGGAAATGCTTCATCTGATGAGCCTACATGCAGACTTTGAGCTCAAAATAGAAGTAACCACGCTATCCCCATCGTTTCCTCAGACCCTGAGCTGATAATTTTTGCATTCGTGTCCCATCTCATGCACACAGGTGACGAGATTCAAGTACGTAAGAACCTCGTCGCTCCCCGCTGTGTCTCACATCAGCTACTGACCTAAATGGACTGGCACTTACTCGGGGGAACAAATTGCGATGTCTTCTGTGTGGTTACGTATTGGTGCCCATGTAAAACGCTACCAGAGCTCGAAAGATGTTATCCTTGCATGATCTGCTGCATCCATGACGCCGGAGCTGCAGACTTCAACGAAAGGGTTGGGTTGGTTCATGGTGCAAGACCAAAATGACAAACTACCAGAGAATCATGCTGGTGGCCCTATGCCCAGTCAACATCTGCAGTAAGACACTGCCAAATATGGCGTCCTGACCAACCCCACTGCCATGACCTTATCCTTCTCACCCTCTTTCCCTATAACTTCCACTGCTGCCCAAGGAACAGCCTACAATGGCCCTACGTGCTTTGGATGATGAAGCAAACACATGGTGCCTGTCCCGAATTTCTGGGAAAGCCACAGCCTGCCCAGCACATATCAACCCACAATCACAATCACAATATATAAATAACCCCAATCCCATGGGACCAGCCTTGCACCCCCCCCCCCCCCCCAAAACCCGCCCCCACCTTGTATACAAGCCACTTTAACCATGTTGACTGATAGCTCTTTCTTTCATCTACCAGATCCAGTAGGTTGCTCATCACAATCTATTACAGGCTGCAATTGAGAGTCAGATAAAGTAAGATGGTAATCAAATGTGATGTGAGCCACAAATTTGCATTTGCTTTCATATCACTTTTGTTGCATGACTGGGCATCCCAGATGCAATCAAAACCTTTGATTGAACCACACCCACTACACAAGAGTTGGGTATTAGAATACTCGGCCATAATTGCACATCAGTGCCCGGGTTAATTATCCATGCGCCTGGGCACGAATGTCATGCCTGCACACGCAGTACAGTCCTGGGCAGCCCCAGCACAAAATCCGAAAATTAAAAAAAAACTTTAAAAAAAGTTCTGGAAAAAGAAATTCGTGAAATTCTCGGTTTTCAACAAAAAATAACGTAAAAAAAATCTCAAAAAGTTGTGTACAGCTGCAATGCAAACAGCTTCCAGCTGAGAGCTACCTCATCAGAATACCTCAAGAAATTACATCGAAAATTTAAAAAAAAAAAAAAAAAAAAATCAAACTACGACAACCCCCATTAAACCACTTTTAAGCCAAATTGGCACCCCACCTACTCCCCGACACTGAAAAGCATAAAAGAGCCCAGATTTGGGCAGCTTTTGGTGTGTACTGGGCAGGCCAACGGATGAAACAAAACAAACAAAAAAAACAGAGTTTCTACATACCCGGGGCACCCTGGCTCTTGGATGGCTGGGTGACCTGCACGGGACACTGGAGCAAATTCATTTAAATTTAAATATATGATAAAAGAAAAAATCCCACAGCTTTTGCATGCCCGGGGTACCCTGGCTCTTGGATTGCCGGGTGACCTGCACGGGACACAATTATCATATTAATTACAGTTTATCGATTACTAACCACTCAAGAGAGGCTTGTCCTGAGTCTCCGCCTATTAGGTCAGCCCTTTTCAGAAGGGAAAATATTCAGTATGCTATGCCAGAAACAGTGCGCTCTGCTGCTTCCAGAATCTTCACGAATACAACAATTCCAATTACATGCAGCATGCAAACACTGTCCGCAGTGCCACATCACTCTGGCCAGGCATCTCTCTCTCTCTCTCTCTCTCTCTCTCTCTCTCTCTCTCTCTCTCTCTCTCTCTCGAGCGCGCGCGCGCATGCGTCACACACACACATGCACACACACATGCACACACACATGCACACACACATGCACACACACATGCAAAATGTGTCCGATGATGAAACCCAAACTAAATAGAATATGGACTGCAAACTGCTTGTGATATAGAAACATGGAAACAAGAACAGACAATGAGACAAGGAGTGGAGGGCTTTGTCGCCTTTCCCATTCGTTCATCCGGAACTCCAGAAGAATCTGGTCTTTATAGGGGATGGGAGCCTAGGGTTGGAGACGAGTGAGAATGGGCAATCCAAAGGGCGAGAGCACACAATTGAAACAAAAGACGGTTGCTGGTCATCACACGCATTGCGGACCATGCACCCCTTCAAACCAAGTGGACATGACTGCAGAACAGAAACATGGAGGGAGTAAAGAAGTTGAAGGATTGAAAAGCATGAATGGCATATAAAGTCAGCAAATTTAAACACACACACACACAAAAAAAAAAAAAAAAAAAACCGAACTTCTCACCATTCATTTCTTTAAGGGCAGCTGCTAGATCCGAGGGATTACTAAAGCTCACAAACCCATAGCCCTTCGTCTTGCCAGTTCGCTTGTCGCGGACCACCTACAGGCAGCGGTCACACAATTAACCTCCATGTCCAATCCAAACATGGCAGAGGAGAGGCAGTGTGGAGGCGCTCTTGTGAGCCACAGCAACTCATCTGCACAGGAACAAACCAGCCACCACAAATTTCCACCACCCAAAAGCTCCAACAATCCGTTCCGGAAAACAATATCGAGCAACCGCAACCACGCTAGACCAATCACACGTCCATACAAACTTTTCAACGCGGAGGACTCGTCTTCCCAGATACTCCAGGCCCCCTGACAACGACTCTATGTAAACAGGCAAACTGCAATCCAGACATCCATTCAAACAATCCAAGCAAGCTAAACCTCTATAGCCCTGCTCAAAACAGCTTTACAAGCACTTAGACCAACCTCACTTCGTCCCCGTGCTCCCCATTTTGAGTAGCGGGTTAAATCACCCGTGCTCCCTAACCTATTTTGTGCACTCGATTGGAAAGTTTTCTTCAGGAGAAAGCTCGGCCTCTGGGACTGATGTTATCTGAAGTGTTCAGTTGCTGCCCAACTCCAACTACCACTACACCTGCATAGAAGCTAATGGGCCTATATTGCCTGAAAATACACTGGCCATATCCTGTGGGTGACTACAAAAGAAAACGAGTCTCCTGGAATCCAGGAGCCTTTGGAACATAGTTCGAGATAGGCCCCCCCAAAGATAAGGGGAGGGCTGCCCTGGCTTGACTAAAAACCTTACTTCGCAAAAAGCTCAAATTGTGGGGGCTTTGCCTCTTCTTTCCCCCCCCCGGGCCCGACTCCCCTGGCATCCCCCCCTCTAACGAGAATAATGTAAGGCCATAGTCTATGATGTTATGATCAAGCCAACCAATGGGTAGGATGGCCTGTAGGTCGATTTCTTCTCAAAGTTCAGGTCCTTTGGAAGCAAGGTCGGGAAATGGAACTCTGCCGCATGAAAAGTACCGACACGTAGGCCTTTGGAGACAATTGGGAGGTGTTGACACTCAGATACATCAAGCAAACTCCCAGTGTTGACATGCCGGAAACAGTGAGCCAGAAAGGCTTTGGCAAGGCCCACACACAAAAAAAAGCTGCACATGACTGGAACTGGAAGTGGAGAGACTGGAACTGGAAGTGGAGAAAACGACTATGACATTCGTCAGGTTAAAAAAGGAAAAGAATGAAAGAACAAAGAAACAGCGAATCAGCAACTTCAATGGGGCAAGGGCATCAACGCAAAGAAACTCAAAACATTGCGCTTCTCTACACACACACACACACACACACACACACACACACACACATGCACGCCCCCAACCCCACCCTCTAGTCGGCCAGCACACAAACATACACACCAGCCATAGGTGAGCACATGCATGCAGACGTGCTCACTCTCAATCTGCACACACCCACACATACATACACAAGCAAAAGCACACACACACCCACACACACACAACACACACCCACACACCCACACACACACACACACACACACGCACACACACACACACAGAGCAAGCAGACACAGGCATAGGCAAGCACACACACGCATGCCTATACACACGGACAGCAATGCCACGATGCTGTAAGCGGACTACCGGTAGTAATCTGAGCCCCACAGCCCCACACTCTGCCAAGAGTATGGAGTAACAGCTCCCGAAACATCAGTGTGCATGGCAACAAAGCATAGAGGTCAGGACTAGGTTTGTGCACCACGAGGGCGATATTGTGGGATCTTGCAAGGCAGTGATGGCACACATTTTGGGGGGCATGCTTTTCCGGGAAAACATTCACCATAGACTGCACCAAACTCAACATGCACTACACTCTCAACGCATACCCAGCACGGACTTCTTTATCTTCTCTATCCACAAAACGGATGCAATCCTCAAACAAGCTGCATCTGTGCGGAGCAGGACCCTACACTGCTCTCCTCTACCTACATCCGCAGGCTTTACAATTTGTACAGCAAAGAGTCCACTACAACAATGACGCCTATTGATGCTGCTATCAGATGGTGAAAGCATAAACAAACAGGAGACCTGCCCAGAGAACCAATTGTGGGGTTTCTTGCAACCGACAAGCATGACTGAGGGGGAAAAAAGTCCAAGGGACACACAGAGGGGGAGGGGAGGGGCGAGTTGAAAGAGAAAATGAAGAACTGTCAAGCATCACCCCATAACCGCTAGAAAGGGCAAACAACTACCGAAGCCTGTCAGTTGCATTAATTTAATTAACAAAAAACAAAACCACACATATGCCTACAATGAATCAATTAATTCGTCATGGTAGAGAATCAAAACGACGTACGCAACGTACTCGAGCTTAAAATCAATGTCCTCAAAAGCAGGGAGTATGCCTTCGTGTTTCTACAAGAACACCAAAAAAAACCAACTCAGCTTTACGCAAAATAGCTGAGGAGGAACCCCAAATCTGTCAGAGACTCAGAACGCACAGGAAACATCTTGACCGCAATACAGTCTACCCTTTTCTCCCTGTGATCCAGTGCGGGGTTCCAAACCCATTCTGAAGCGGCATCAACTGGCTTCGGCACCTTGAGAACTGCTACGGCTTCCACTTACCAGTTAATCAACTAGACCCAGAAGTCTGCAGATTGGTCTTGGCAATAGTCTTCACCTTCTTGCATATGTGATGCTCAGCTCAGCATCACATTGAAAACTGCCTCGTATGGCTCATGCGCATCTGGGCAATTGTACCAACTTGGGTTTCCTTATGCATCCATGTAGCCACAGCTCAACCAATATCTACTGGGTTTTATCTCCTTTCCCAAGCACTCCCTGGGTTTTGTGCTCCAAGGGTTGGTCAACCATGCCTCATGCCCAGCATTTCTAAAAACCCTTGCCAGTTAGCAGGTGCCACACGCAGAAAGGCCTGGAATGCCCCCAGGGAAAAAGGCTGGTAGCACCAGGCAAATCGCACACCCCAATGGTTTAGATTCCTTAAGGGCTGGACAAAGAAACACACGGGAAAAACGAGGCAGGGACCCCACTGGTGCTTCGAATGAAAGTCCAAAGCATAACTGGGGCCTCTCTGCTCTTATGAGCTTTGCAACAAATGCCATCATAAGTTCTCAAAGGCACAGAAATTGGAAGGCCAGAACCCCATCCCACAAGATGACACGAGGCAAGAGCAAGAGCATAAATGACCTACCAATTGCGAGAAAACAGCCATCTAGGACTAGTCAGTGGAGAAACAAGGCTGCAGACCAAAAGAAAGAAGTGTGCGATTTTGGGTGAAAGAGAAGGCTATCTTTGTGGGACAGGTGATGCGGAAGGCCAAGAGTGCAGAGCAGTAAGATGAGAAAAAGAAAAAGCGGCTTGCCACAACGAGTGCCCCAATGGCGGCTCGTATGAATCATAACTGTGACGTGAGGATCCCTACAGGGAAGGCCTAGTCTAGACTCTCGATAGTCCACTCTTGCACAGGTTGTTCAGGCTGGTATGCCTACTTCCTGCAGTGGTTGGTATTCAGGCACTTACCCCAGAAAGAAGTAGATAGGCTGCAGTGTAAGCAGGATGTGAAACACTGAGCACGGAGCATAGCAAACGGACCAGCACAGCATCTCCCAAAACCGTCCTGTGAAGCTTAGTGATAGAAGTGGATAGAACTCTATGCTATCAGAAAAGATGTCACCAAGACAGCAATCAACATGCAGAGTGCTATCCATGGTAACCGCGGACCCGGACACCAGACACTTCCGGACTGTTTCCCGGACCTGTGTCTGGACCAGTCCGGACTGTCCGGTGTTCTAGACATCGCCGGACACCAGATGTCACCGGACTCCGGACTGTCCGGACTGTGTTGGCAGGGACAAGATGTCCGGGTTAAAAAAAAAAAAAAAAAAAAAAAAGGCGGGGTGGGATCTCACCTGGTTCACACTTCGTGCCCCCTATTTACAGAACATCAACAATCAATCAATCAATCTCCCCGAACCTCGTTCCTCCCACTGCGCGCCTTCCCCTTCCCTCCCCGAACGTCCTCCCGGACCTCCCCGAACCTCGTACCGAACCTCTTTCCTCACACTGCGCGTCTTCCCCTCCCTCCCTGAACCTCCTTCCGGACCTCCCTGAACCTCGTACCCGCCAGTCCCCAACTCCCCGCCAGTCTCCATCCCTCCCTCCCCGAGCCTCCTTCCCCCCACTTCGCCCCTCCCCTCTCCCATCTGTCCCTCTTCCCCCTATCTCCCCGAGCCTGTGTCTGGACCAGTCCGGACTGTCCGGTGTTCCAGACATCGCGGGACACCGGATGTCACGGGACACCGGACTGTCCGGACTGTGTTGGCAAGGACAAGATGTCCGGATTTAAAAAAAAAAAAAAAGGCGGGGAGGGAGCTCACCTGGTTCGCACTTCCTGCCCCCTATTTCCCGAACATCAACGATCAATCAATCAATCAATCTCCACGAACATCCTATCCCCCATCTTTCCCTCTTCCCCCCTATTTCCCTGAG